CTAAAACGCACTAGTGTAAACGGGGCCTAAGACAGTGGGCCTCCCTTTTGACACAACTTATCCATTGGCGCCCCCCTCCTCCCAACCACACACACACACACATGCGCGCGCACACACACAAAATTCTGGAGGTTTTCCTGCTACCTCATCATGCTTGGTTTCAAGGTGTCGCCCAAGTTTAGCGGGTCTCATGCTGTCATTAGCCAAAATATCTTGACAAACCACACATAAAGGTCGTGGTTCATCAGCTGGTCCTGTCCACGTGAATCCTAAACTCAAATGCTGATCATCATATCGTCGTCTTTTGGGTTTAAGCCCTGAACTTGAAGGCTTTGAATCGGCGGGTCTCAGAAACCGATCCAGTGTATAAGCAGCATAGACTGTAAATTAGCAGGCATAGACCTGTATTAGCGGGCTTGCCAAACAGAAGCGAATTCACAGCTCGCGCCTCACACTTTGAAAACCCCTGCTCTGGAGGAAGTGGAACCGCTCACGCTTCCGACAGCCGCCCGTAAACACACAGGACACAGGACACTTCTGCTCTTCTTCTTGGCTTTGTGGCCGTTCATCAAGATGATGACAATGTTTGAGCTCGGGTCCACCACGGCTCATTATTATATGTGTATATTATCACGCTGTAACGTCTCGGCTGTGTGTTTAAACATGGCGTGTGTTCATTCTCCTGCTTGTACACGAGTGACGTATCTCTGTAAACCAATGGCGTTCAGCGGTGCGTCAAGCTCCGCCTTCTGTTGTGTTGGTGCCCTTTGCAAAGCGTGAGCGAAGAGTGCTGCGCTACAGTTCCCTTTAGACACACTTTCACTGTGGAAATGCCCATAACAGCGTACAAACCGTTCAACGGGCCATTACACACACACATAAAGGAACATCACACACACACACACACACACACACACCTTCCTGAACACACAGTGGGTTGCTCACATGTTTGATGAAGTTTGCATCATTGACTTTTTGAAACTGTGTGTGCATGTGTGTGTGTGTGTGTGTGTGTGTTCTCTGCAGTTCTCACTGTCTGCGCGCTGCTGCTTTCTACATCCGCGGCCTGCTCTCCTTCTTCCAGGGACGCTACAATGAAGCCAAGTGAGTTTCCTCTTCCTGTGTGCGTGTGTGCGTGTGTGTGTGTGTGTGTGTGTGTGTGTGTGTGTGTGTGTGTGTGTGTGTGTGTGTGTCTGTGTGTGTGTGTGTGTGTGTGTGCGTGTGCGTGTGCGTGTGCGTGCGTGTGTGTGTGTGTGTGTTCAGTGATGGTGCTGACTGGTCTCGTGTGTGTGTGTGTGTGTGTGTGTGTGTGTGCGTGCTTGCGTGTGTGTGTAGACGT